TCTTGTGTCTGACGGGGCTCTGCTGTCTTCTCTTGTGTCTGACGGGGCTCTGCTGTCTCTCTTTGTGTCTGACGGGGCTCTGCTGTCTCTCTTTGTGTCCAGCTGCACTGCTGGAGCCCCGAGGAGGCGTGCAGGGCCCTGGCCTCGGTGCGCCCTCACATCCTTGTCCGCGCCGCGCAGATGGAGGTGCTGCACCAGTACCATCGGCAGGTTTGCGCACAGGATTCCAGCTGACGGGAGAGGGAGCAGTCGACGATCCAGCCTGAATCGCATTGATTTCGATGGCCGTGTATCCAATGCAGGGTCACGGCGGGCAGGAGCCCCTCCTGGGAAGCACTGGGCACGAGGCAGGATACCCCTCGGAGGGTGACACCAGTCCACTGCAGGGTACACCCAGACACAGACAGACTTGCAGCAGGACCACTTTACCCAGAAGCCACTTAGCCTACCATTATCTCTTAAGAATGGGAGAGGAAACCAGAGCACCCGTTGGAAACCCATCCAAACACAGGGAGAACATACAAGCCCCAAACATACAGCACCCCAGGTCTGGAATTGAACCCGGGACCCCAGTGCTGCCAGGCAGCAGAGCTAAACACTGCACAACTGTGCCACCACTCAAGCCTACGTTTTACGAGGAAACTTTGCAGTGTTTTGGATATGTGAATTCCATAGGAGAGCATTCGAAATTAAAGGGGATGGAAGTACTCTTACTGTACGTCTGTCACATGCAATATTCAAGCTTAATGTGAGAAGAATGTATTGTACAGTATGTAAATGCATAAAACCATTTGAACTGCACTGAAAACAATGAAATGTGTTGTTCCAAATGTTTCTTTAAAAACCCATCATCTCAAGCTGCAATTTTGTTTAATCTGCAGCGAAAATATTGCTGTCTTGCTGTCTGTTGGAAGGTATAGAGACCTGTCTCTGTTGATGAGTTTTAGGATTGCCAGTGATGTCCAGGCCAACTTTCTTCAAAAATAAACGTTATTATAATTTTACTTAATTTATCAACTGAAACCACCTGTTGGCAAGAATCTGCAGATCTGTTCCCTTTATTGTAAATCTACCAGTGACAGTAACTGGTGTTTTCAGTTCCTTGTTTGATTTCTCAAAACAAAGCAGAATACCAATGTCCTTGTGCTTGCAAGAATACTGTACTTTGAAAAACATTTTGTATTGGAACAAGTGACACATGTCCTCTCAAGTGTTATTCTAGGGGATTTACTATTCTCTCCAAAACATGATTATGATTTTTTGGAAACCTGGTGCATTCCAGCAGGTTGGAATTATTAGAAAACTTCAGTCAGACACTCAATGTTTTTTTTTTCCTGTGAATCCCAAACCGTGATGACCCAAGGGCTCTCTTAAGGTTAAGTAAAGATTCAATCTGAATAAAATAGATTAAAATAGAAATAAAATGCCTAATGAAAGATGTTCCTTAATGCTTCTACTGTATATATTATTTCTTTACTTCTTTTGAATGCATCTAGTTGCCATGTACCTCATTTTAAGGCAGTTAAAGTGTTAAGATATGAAACATGAAAACCTAATTTGTGTGTCTGGCTCATTTTGTTTCTTGTATTTGTGAATGTAAATAAATAGCTTACTTTTCACCATTGGCGAACGCTTCTGACTGCTGGCCCGTGCCGAGTTTCACATTCTTTTCGATACCCCGCATCTTAGAATCGTCTCGAGGGTGAAATGAGCTGCCTGTACCGTGGTTGTGTGGTGGGCCGTTAGGGAAAAAGTGTGCCCCCTTCAGTGAAAGGACTGCTTATCTGATGTGGACACAAATCAAGAGACCCGCTCTCGAGGAAGTAGCAACACCACTCGACGCAGCTTAAGGCGGCTGTGCCTGGAAAAGTGAGTGTGTCATCAATGGAAGTGCTTTTTAAACAGAAATACTGCGAAGGCTAATTACGAGGAGGCTGTGCCACTTCCAAGTCAAGTACCACTTTGGTGGAAGGGCTTTGGATTCATAACATTTCTTGCCTGTATGGGGCTCGATGGTGTTGCCGAGATGCACGGCGCTCGCCAGCTTTTCAAAGCAGCGTCTCTCAGCATCTGTTCCAGGGCAGACTTGAATATAAAGGTTTTGTGTCACACCCTTGTCTACACTTTCCCAGCCCGTGCACCTCATCACTAATAATTATAAACAACTTATGTCAGTGCTGAGTCTGAGTTGGCTTGAACGTGCACAGTCACCTTATCCTGGTGAAACACGGAGCTCTTGCGCAGGTGATCTCGGACGTTGTTTTTTTCTCTGTCAGACTTTAAAACTGACCTTGCGTGCCACACAACCCCCAGAGCTTGGCCCCTGTCTCATGTGCAACATGACACTTGGGTGACTCCACAAAACTAATACGTGTGTACACAATATTTCCTTTATTCAGTTTTTACTTTTCCTCATATGTGACTTTTCCTGCTAATGCCTGAGGGCAGACCGCAGCATACAGGCTGGGAAATGCAGTTTCCTGGAATCAAAACATGCAGATCTGATCTTAACATTAGGACATTTTATTCATGGGAATTTGTCAGTTAGGCCTCTGCCAGATGACGGAACTCTCACATTGCCTACCGACTGCTGACATCCGACTGCCACAGTCAATGGATTGAGCTGAACATGCATGAAGCAGTTGAGAACAGTCTTGGAAAAGAGAACCTGTGCCAGTACTGAATCCTAATTTAAGCAGGAATAAAGTTGCGAAATATGTGCAGTAATCCTGTAGGACCAGACACGGTTCTCTAGTCTCCGTTCCTGGGGGATAATGTCACACAGATTGTTTTTTCCCCATGGCTAAGCAAGTGATTCTAGTTTTCCAAGCATATGCTTTCTCACCTCAGGGGCTATTTCTCTGACACTGCTGTCGTGGTCTGTTTATGGGACTTTCACAACTGGAAAATAGCCTTTCCTGATGCCAATTCCAGCAGCTCCTTCATTGATTGATTGATTCATTGCTTTATGAAACAGTGGTCAGCTTTCACCTATGTGAAAACAACAGCTCACTCCCACTCCCTCACTTATTACTATTTAGCTTGTTTCAGTCCTATCTGACTATCAACGTTTCAAATTAAACATGAACAAGCAATATCACCAAAAAGCTGTAAAAAGCTTAAATGTATTTAACATGCTTGTTAACACATTCTCAAAATAACACTGAGTCATGAACAGCTGTAACCTTGTTTTTTAACCTGTATATTATACATCTCTTATAAATCTAATAAAACTTATTTTTACAAGTTGTTTCAGTGTTTGTTAAATGCGTCCATGCTTCTCCTCTGAAAAGTACATTGCTTCACATATCCTCAACATCTGAATCTCCGAAAGTCTGCATTAAAGGAACCCTTTACTACATCGGATATTCAAGGTGTGGTTCAAATTGTAACGAAGAGCAGGAAAACTAACTGATATTTCAAACCACGAGTAGTGTTAAACTTAATAGTAAGTCACATACGGCGTTTTTTTTTTAATAGATACTTGTTGCAAAGCTACTTTAGAAAAACATTTACATACAGGGAAATATCTTCCTCATATACATCTGCACAGAAAACCTCGGTTCTGTTGGTCGATCGGGCTTGGTTTCTTTACAACCGAGCTCTACAGGCGATTGATCCAGCGATGGTAGGAAAGCGGGGCAAGCTGCACTTCGGATTCAGCTCCGTGTATCGTGCACAACACCAGATCCCGCCGTTCTTGGAAAAACACAAAAGTCTCCTCGGTCCGCGTGGGTGGATGGTGGCATCTAGCTTCACAGAAGCTATTAAACTGAAAGAACATCGCCTTCTGTGTGTCCAGAGCGCTCCTCCTTTCCACAGGCTCCTCCTGCCACTGCCAAGAGGGCGCGAGAGAGGCGAAGCAGAAAATGAGACAATCTCGCCAGAAACGGTCCTCCTATCTGCAGCGATGGTCGCCAGCCAGCTCCTCGCCATGGTTCTGCTTGACCCTGCCACATGGAGGACCTCCCATCCTTCGACAGAGGCAGGCTGCGAGGCCTGGAGCTTTAGCCTTGATTTCTTGTTTTTTGGACTGGCGCATGAAATGGCACGTGGAATCGGTTTGCCTTCATTATTCAGGACAGCAAAAAATGCTATTAACACCACAAGAGTATCAACCCCACCAGCCACACCTTTTCACTGTCTACAGTGGCACGATGGTCAAACAATAAAATTAGTTTGTCCAAAAACACAATCCACTTTCACCGGTCTTTCACCAGTAAATCGCTCCAAAAGGCTGTCTGCCCTTGATGAGCTGTTTGTTTCACCTTGATGGGAACAGCAGTTGGCGCTGCGCATGAATTATTAATGGGAGAAAACGAGGAAGGTCAGTCACTCCATGTCTGCATGGAATGAAGCTGAGAAATACTCGACTGTCGGTTCAGTGCAAGGTGATGGCGGCGTTAAGGTGGCATTAGGGTATTCCACACGCCGAAAGACCCCTCTGAAAATGCAGGAAAAGGCAAAACATATCAAACCAAGCTATCGTACAGGAGAATCATCAAACAGAGTCTGCAGCAGGCGAACAAACCCGAGAAAATTCATGGGTAACGGACAGGTCACAGACCACAGGAGCAAGACGGGTCAGCGTCTGCCGGCGGGAAATCGTATTTTTCGTCTTCGAGAGCTGCCGAGGCTCTTAGTGTGGGGTTTCAGCATCCGCAGCTCGGCGTGGGAATCGCCCTGCTGCGCGTGGCGTCGGAATCACAAAGCTGGGACTCTCGGGGGCGGATCCGCGCTCCTCCAAACATCCGAGCCCTCTGGTTATCCCGGTCCGCCGGATGGGGTTTTTTTTTTTCCCCCTTCTCCCTTGGCAGCGGGACGAAGAGCTCGCAGAGTGAAGGGCTCGCAGCGCCCCCTCTCCCGGGAGGAGCGGAGAGGGTCGGGGGACGGGGTGGAGGAACGGGGGGGCAGGGGGGTTGTGATCAGGCCAGAACGAACTGCCAGTTCGTCAGGAGGATCTTGATGCCCTTGATGACGGACACCACCGAGGTGGCGGGGTTGAACTTGAGCGTGTTGGCGTCGCCCTTCTTGCACTTGTCCCGGAAGACGTAGATGCAGCCGTTGCAGCTGGCCACCTTCCAGAGCGAGGGCACGCAGCTCCACACCTCCGGGAAGCGCAGGCGGGTGAAGCTGTCCAGCAGGGGGTTGTAGCACACCAGCGAGTCGCCCTCGGCCACGACGAAGATCAGGTCCTTGTGGGCCGTGGCGTGCATGCAGCCGGCGAAGGGCAGCAGGTAGGGCTTGGTGTGGCACTTCTGGGCGGCCGTGTCGAAGCACTGGATGAGCCGCGAGGGCTTGGTGAAGAAGTCCATGTCGTTCTCCTCGCCGCCCAGCAGGTAGATGGTGCCCCCCAGGTTGACCCCGGCCGCCCCGGACACGGCGGTGTCCAGCGGGTTGGTCTCGGTCCACATGTTGTCCCGCACGGTGTAGTAGATGACCGCGTTGGACAGGGTGTCCTGCAGCGTCTTCCCGCCCAGGGAGTAGATGGCGTCCTCGCCCGGCACGGACACCAGCGTGTGCTGCAGCCGGTCGCGGGGCAGCGGGGCGCAGCGCTCCCAGTCCATGGTGTGCATGTTGCACTTCCACATGCGCCGGGGGATGGACCCGCCCACCACGTAGAGGTCGCCGCCGTGCTTGCAGGCCGCCGTGATCTGGTGGCACAGGCTGTTCTGCCCGCTGACGCTGATGGCGTCGTCCTCGTCGCAGTGCAGGGACACGGCCAGGGAGTGGGTGCGGGTGTCCTCCTTCCCGATCAGGTAGATGTGCACGTTCTCGCCGATCTCCTGCAACAAGGCAACAGAAGTCACGCGGTGCCCCCCCCACCGACCGCCGGACCGGGGAGCACATCCACGGCTTGCTCTCTCGGCCCCCGTCGGAACCTGCGCCCGAGACGCCGAACGCGCCCTTCTCACTTCAGACCCTGGAGTGACCCTCTTTCCAGGTCCAAACAAATTGTCCACTGTACCTTAAGACTGTCCTGGAGGACATCCGAGTGCTCCTGCCTCTCTTCCTTGTTGTGGTTTATCCACGAATCGATTGCGGCTGTCGGGTTCTGGGAGCTTGGAACTCCATCTAGAAGGAGGAAAAGGAAAAAGAAGAAAAACTCACCTCTTTGCCAGTGAATTCTGTCTACCTCACGCATCACACAAATCACACAGAGAGTCGAGGGCGTTAGTAACTTTTCTAATTTAGCATCCAACATCCGTACGTCATGCACTTTTCCAGTGCGTCTGCTTGCCAGTAATTCGCGGTTCTATTTCTGGCACCCAACACAACAACATCTGACTGACCCGATCCTTTGCAGCAGTCGGGTGTGACTGCTAGACCACATGCTGGTGACGCTGCTGAGATGCTTTCAGACATGAATGCATAACGTCCACAGCTCCAAAGGCCAGTAGCGACACATCAGTAAAATGGGTCGGCTCACGTTGTTTTCTGGCAGTGCTCATTCCATCCTGGGACACTGCAGCCAGCTGACACACAGGCACAGCCACAGGAACAGCCACAGGAAACCGACCTTTAATGATGTCCATGAGAAGGCGAAGCGGCAGGCTGAGGAACTCCTCTGTCTGGTGGAGCTGCACCAGGTGGATCTTGGCGCAGTGCTTGGCAGCGGTGTACAGCTCTTGGTCACTGTGCTGGTCGGCCAGCCACATCACCTGTAGCCGGGAGAGAGACGACACATCCGAGCGGAAAATCACAAGGGCACAAGAGGCTGAGCGTTTTCCTAAGTTCTTTACAGGAGAACGCTTCTTCTTTTTTAGACCTGGCCTCTCATGTCAAATTCCTGTCAGGTATTATCCATATTCTTCAAGAGATAAACCTTTTATTCAGCTTGTGGACTTCTTTTGCCATGGGGCAAAACACAATGAATGTAATCTATTCTTCTGCAAATGTGAAAAAGAGAAAGGAGCGATGAGAAATTGAGTTGAAGAATTAGCTTTCTGAGGGGGGACTCAGACCAGGAGTAAAATACCCCAGAGGTGGAGAGGCGCTGTAAAGCTAGCCGGTTTGTTATGGGGTGTCCATAACCCCGTCGGGCCAGCAGGTGTCATCCGTTAGACCATGTCTATATGACAGCTCAATCAGTGCTGCTCGAGCCCAGTCCTGAACACTACAATACTACAGTATTACACTTTAAAATCCACAATAGTAGAAGACCGGGCAACAATGGGAATTAAGGCCAGTTTAGTCAACTGGTGCAAACAAGTCATTAAGAGCTCAGGCTGATCAAAACTACAAGACCCTTCAGCCCTCCAGATAGTCTTGACATGGTACCGCGGGAGTCTGAGCCCAGTCCTTTATTCACTTAACTGACAATTAATTAACAAATTCACCCAGCTGCTCCAGATGGATTCATTAACCAGTTAACGATTTGCTGGAATAAGGACCTGCAGCAGACTGGGACAGGAATGCCTATGGTGTTTACCACGAGTTTCTACCAGTGGGGGCAGAAGAGATCCACAGTGCAACAGGCTTTCTAGCTCTTCCTAGCTCCCTGGCCTTTACGTTGGGCAGAAGAGCGTTGGTGAAAGATTCCAGACTAGCCTCTTGAACCTCAAGGGCAACAAGGGTTTCTGGTTTCCATCTCATCTGGGCTCTGAGTTCACCTTCTCGCTTGAATTATTTTAGCACCTGATGGTGCTATTTCCTTCCACCCCCGTCTTTGGTAACCACAGAGTTCCTGACTGCGAGAAAACCCACTTTCATTCTACCTCCCCCCCCCCCAGGCCCGACTCTTGGCCGCCACTGGCTTAAAGACCCCAGAGATGTCCTTCTCCTCACCTGCAGGCAGTTCTTGACGTCCACCGTGCGGGACAGGAACCGCGAGCACTCCTCAAACAGCGCGGTCAGCTGGTACATGTCCGCCATCTCGTACGTGTCCTGCAGGTCCTCCACCCTCAGCTTGATGGTGCCGTGGTAGATGTAGTCCACCAGCAGCTGGAAGACGGGGGCGCTGACGTCCTTCAGCTCGATGCTGCGGTTGTGCGCCTCCTTCAGGTTGGAGGTGAACATGGACCTGAAGAAGCAGCTCTGGGCCGACAGGACCAGGCGGTGCAGCTGGAACTCCTTGCCGTCCACCACGACGGTGACGTCCGCGAAGAGCCCGTCCTCCAGGCACAGGTCCATGATGCTTTTCACCACGCGGCTGGAGTGCGAGCGATCCGTGAAGGTGTAGCCCAGGAAATAATTCTCTTCTCCCAGCGGGCCTCCGGCATTCAGCACCCCTGTATCCTCACAGGACTCCATGTCATCGGCCAACAAAGCAACAGACCACAGACTGGACCACCTGACGCACAATAAACAGTTTTAGAGTCTTATGGCATTGCAGCAACCTGTGTGTCCCTAATATTAGTCAGGGCATTGTCCCCTGTCGCCGGTACCTTTTATCAGAACATGCACGTCGCAGTAAGAACGTGAAACCAGACATTTCTAACTATTTAACCCGGTATTAAATCCTCAGACATTCCTAAATATTTTAGCAACTATGTCACTTTCCAGATTAAATATTTAAAGATTTTGTAATATCCTAAGTTCCCTGTTCTTGCTGTAACATAATTTACTAGCTAGTGGTTCAATTGAGTAAATGAATGACATCAGGATTGTCACTGGAAAAAAAGAGGAGGATATCTGTAGGGGCTGCAGGGAGCACAGGCCCCAGAGATTGTCTGGAAAGGCACACTTTCGTGTAGCCAATCCTGTCAAACTCGATGTACACATCTTCAGGCGGTGGTGAGGGGGGAAACCGGAAACCTGTTAACAAAACACACACACAAATATGGGGACAACATGCAAATTCCACACGCACAGGCTGTCCAAGGCAGAGTCGAGCCCAGGAAACTGTGCTAACCACCATGTCACAGTTAAGGAGATCGTACGGCCCACTATTGGTAATGAGTAACTTCGTGAAATAAACAATTTGTAAAATGAATACAATGCTATTTGGTTATTTTTTCCATGAATCCAAAACACTGCACTGTGTAGGACAATGCCATTCTACAATGTCAACGTTAAAACAACTAATGCAATATCCTGTTTTACTGAGATATCTGGTTTACAGTGCACTCCAAGTTTTCAATGACTAGATTTGAATATTAATGGGTTAATCCCTCCATTAAAGCATTTTTCTACAAGAAACAAGCTGCACTGCTTTGCTCTCCGGGATTTGGCCATAGAGAGCATAACATAACCGTCAATTTTCAGTAAATAACATTAAAGTAGGTCTCAAAACCGGCTTCTTGGGCCCGGTAGCTCGTGAGCAAAACACACAAAAACTCGAGAAACTCTCGGCGCCCCCGTAAAGGTGCATAACGACATACGCAACAATAAATCAGGCCCCAAGAACACTGCGTTCGTTGGGAAACGCTTTTCTTAACGACGAGAGTTTGTTAAAAATACACATACATGTATGCCATTTTCAGTTTAGCTTCAATCGCTTTCATTATTGCAACAGATCGCATTGAAATAGCCGATGAACAGTGCAAAGGTATATTGAAACGTAGCTAAACAGGATCAGAAATTCATCTTTTAATCTTTGCTTTCGACTAGAGCGATTTTCTTCAACACGGGCACCACGATTTTAGCGGGTGAGACGCTAATAATGAGAACCTTATTAGGCGAGATACAATCGTCATTAATTATTAACGTCCTTTTTCTTTATTGAACAGCTTGTGAGATGTGTCAATTTGTCAATTTAATGCTGCAACAGGGTTTATCACATACACACATCATCTGCGAGCATTTATTCTGAAGTTCAACCAAAATCTGCAAGATTTACCTGTACTTTCCCAAACCTCCAACCCTGAAGTTTTCTTAATCTTAATTACTGTGCAGCTATTTATGACACCAATCCCTGATTTTTTTTTTGTTGTCTGTAATTGTTTTGGAACTCGAAAAGAGGGACTGCCTACAAACACATCAAGGAGCACCAGCAACACCACGGAAGGGAAAACCGTGAGGACCCCTTTCCGGCTGTGTGCAACACTCCAAAGAGTCCGGCTGGAAACGGCTCACACGGCTTCACAATTCAACAGATTCCACTTGGCAGACGTCAAATGCTAAGAGACCGAACGCAGTTTTTTTTTCTCTACCGCAATGCAATATAGTTAAGATACTTTTAGGGGGGAGAATGTAGAAGGTCTTTAGAATGGCAGCGAAAAATCACTTGCAAAGACCCAAAGCCACAATGAAACTAGGTGCTGTTTAGTTAGCGGGATACTTTCTTGAAGGAAGCCATAGAAGGCTCCACTGCCGAAACGTTGTGTTTCTTTTCTCCTCTTTTCAGCATGGAATAAACCTTTACTTGTTCTGTTGTTGTAAATGAGGCCTTACTCACGACTGCATTACACAATTTTATGAACACAAGAATGCCTAAATTGAGTCAGATTTTTCAGCTGATCAGAGTAGGACATGTTGTTAACCTCAAAAGGGAAATTGATACCAGAGCAACAATATATTTTTTTGTTATGTGTATATAGTGTTCTAAATGAGATATATGAGCACATTATACAATTCTAACATCCCTTGTTTAAACTCTAATTTTTTTAACTATATAGCCTACATATTTCTGTTTCCTTAACTTCTGGGAGATAGAAACTATGTATCAACATAAACGTGTAAGGCTTTTTCATTGTTCTCTTCAGTGTTTCTCATCTCAAGTAAAAAAAGATACGTTATAGACAATGGAGACCATTTAGCCTATCTAAACTGTCCAGTAGATCATCTGTCAGATACGTTTTTACGTTTTACGTATCTGCTATCATTTGTTTGCTTTAAATGTCATGTGCCAGGTGTTTGGCCCATGGTGAGTTGTTGCCTAGGTCATTTTGAATTTTCTTTGCAGCTTGTTTGTAATACAGTTACAGAAAAACGCAAATAACCAGGAAATGCACAAGATCACAATGTATTCAAGCAAATTAGAAAGTACATTGTATTTGTTTACTGCTTTCTTTTCAAACTGTATACAGGGAAAAAATGTTATATACATATTTAATAAATATTCCATTGTTTTATTGGTTGTTTGTGCTGTTACTCGTTTTCAAGAATTATTGGCTCATCTTAAATAAAACCATAGGAAACTATTGAGCCAACATGGCAGGTACTATATTTCGGCGTGGTTTTGAACGTCACTTCCTTCTCGCGGACACCCTTGGGGATACCAACTTCCGGGTAGACATGGCGGCCTCCCTGGTTCGGTTTGTCCGCGGAGGATTCAGTAGGAGCTTTAATTGTAAGTCTTTACACTTGAGATATTTAATAATGTGACTATATATATATTTATAAAATACTTGTATCCGTGCTTTGTCTTAGTGTAGATCTGATTCTTTTTTCCGTGAGCTGAAATGCACTTTGGTGTTTTTTATGCATGACCTTTCTCTGCTGTGATAATTACGAAGCGCTCTGTTGTTGAAAGATGACATTTCAAAGCGTTGTGATGTGCAATTCTTACGAATTATTAGCCGAAGAGTCAGTTATATTCTGCTTTCACCAAATAATACATAGTGCAAAAATAATCGCACGGAAATTACCTTATGATATATACTGTTTAATGGTTTATTTTGGTAAGCAGATGTGGTGATAGCAGTAGAATGGACTCAGCACTAACAATGAAAACACTGTACACGTTGTCTAGAGTTTTTTATTATTGGACACTGCGTGACTTTTTTTTCTTGTTTTCACATTTTTCAGTTGCCACCCGGAGTGCAGCTGTAGTGCCAGCGAGGTCAGAGGGCACAGCTACCGAGACTAGGCGTGAGTGTTCGTTTATAGGACATCGACTTTAGAAAGCCTGGGTTATGATAAAGTCCTGTGATGATAACGTTCTTCGAAAACCTCTTTACGAGAGGAAAAAGACAAAAACAAATCATATTAAATGTCCCAGCGCAGAAAGCTATTTGCCACTAAACAACATTCATGATGCATTGTGTTTATTTTTACAGTAAGTGTGATTCAGGAGGGAAAATGTGTGAACAGAAGCTGAATATCATTGACTCCATCTTTTTTTTTAATGTTTAATGTCAAGCCTTTCCCATTCCCCTTTATCTTATAACTCTTTTATACCCTTTTGGCACTCAGCTACTGTCAGACCCAAGGATGAAGTCACTCACAAGCAGCTGTCAGCATTTGGTGAATATGTTGCAGAAATCCTTCCTAAGTATGTGCAGCAGGTGCAGGTATGTCATTTGTGTGGTTAAATTAGCCCAATCCTTCAACGCATTTGGTCTCTGCCAAACAGATTTGGTCTCTGAGTTATTTTTGTGAGCAAATTGTTTTTGCTTCTTAATCTTTCTTATTCTTTGCATAAAAAGTTCTTGGCATGAATTTTATTTTCAAGACTTGGTTTTGAGTTTTTGTTTTTCATAGGTTCGGATCAGTGGCATCTACTAGAATATGCTGTTGCTTATGAAACTCATCATATTTGATTTAGCACAACCAGGGTTGTACTAACAGGATTCGGGCTCTTCAGGACCAGGGTTG